GGGCATTGCGTGGATATATTTTCCACTGTGGGGGGGCACTGCCTGTGTATATTTTCCACTGTGGGGGGCATTGCATGTGTATATTTTATACTGTTGGAGGGTACTGCATAGGTATATTTTACACTGTTGGGGGCACAGCCTGGGTATATTTTACACTCTGGGGGGCAAGGCATGGGTATATTTTATACTGTGGGGGGCACGGCATGGGTGTGTTTTACACTGTGTAGGGAGGGCACTGTATGGGTGTATCTTTCACTGTAAGGTGGGGGGGCACTGCTTGGGTATATTTTACACCAGCACAGCATTACACTGTAACTCTACTATTGCTGAAAAAAATAAAACAAAACAGTCCTCTCTGTGTAATCTATGAACATTGCAAGGGTTTAAACAAACTTTGTTGCAGATCCCTTGTGCTGTTGCAGTTGTATGAAAATATGACATCATGCATAGCCACGGTTGATATTTATATTAATGTGAATTGGGAATTTATATAGTTACATTTCCTTAAAGGAGAAATATGGGGTAAGTGTTTTTCCCCATAGCTCTCCTCAGGGTCACGGGAGGACATAAACTAGTGTCCTCCCGTGACCCAAAACTCAGTATACCGCGAGCTACAGCTCGCGGTATACTGACACCGCCGCAGCCGGTCTGTCGACTGTTGAGATCCACCCAGCTGCGTGATTGACAGTTGGGTCTGCCTACAAGAGCCAGCTGGACCCGCCCCCTCCCCCGTTCGTTCCTCCAGTGAGCGCTGGAGGATGGGAGAGGGAATCCCTGCAGGGAGCCTTGAGTGACACTCACGGCTCTCTGCAGGGACAGGATCGAGAAGTGAGCGAGCGTCGGTATGTGTTCGCTCACCTCCCGATCTATTGAGCCGACGTGTGACAGTTTCATTGTCACATGTCAGCTCGAACTATGAGGTTGAGTAAACTTCCCCATAGTTCTCCTCCCGTGACCCTGAGGAGAACTATGGCGAAAACACTTACCTCATAGTTCTCCTGTAAAGGAGAACTATGAGGTGAGTGCTTTTCACTCACCTCATAGTTCTAGCCGGCCTGTGACAATGAGACTGTCACAGGTCGGCTCAGTAGATCGGGAGGTGAGCGAACACATACCGGCGTTCGCTCACCTCTCGATCCTGTCACAGCTCTCTGCCGTGACAGGGGAGGGGCTGGATTCCCCCCTCCCCGCTCCGATCCGCCAGCGCTGACTGGCGGATCGGACGGGGGAGGGGGCGGGTACAGCTGGCTCTGCCTCTAGATAGGCAAAGCCAGCTGTCACTGACGCAGCTGGGCGGATCCCTGCATAATTGTCGGGATTCGCTTCAGCTGCGGCGTCTCAGTATACCGCGAGCTGTAGCTCGCGGTATACTGAGCTTAGGGTGACGGGAGGACGCTAGTTTGTGTCCTCCAGTTACCCTAAGGAGAACTATGGGGAAAAGCCTTAACCCCATAGTTCTACTTTAAGCCATTTTCCTTTGGCACTAGTATAGCTGGATTAATGTACTGCCATCTTGTGGGCATTTTGGTAATTGCACCACATTTTCTGTGTTCCCTTCCATTTAAATGTATTTCCCCCTTCTAGGTCCAAGTTGTCTTTTCTGGTAAAATGGCTGCATCTAATGGCCACATCTTTGACCTGCAAATACTAGAAATATTAGAAAGTATCTCCTGCTGTGTACAACTGCAACATTTTAATCTTAGATAAGTTACATAAAAATGCCTCTCTGGTAATTCCCCTTGATTTTCGGCACTGATCACTTCACTGCAAAACCCCATTTTTGTTTAAAGTACATCTGATGTGAGAGGAACATGAAGGCTGCTTCTGCTGGCCTTTTTTGCCCAGAAATTCAGCCAATAACCTACATGATGGTTTTGACTTTAATTCAACCGTCTGATCTGAATACTTATTTCGGGTCAGCGAAAATATCAAAACCAGAGGGCCATCAAAACAGCCCAGCATTTAGCATTATTGCTAATATAAGCTGAAATTATCTTTACTGCTAATTGTAAAAAAACGGTAAATCTTAAAGTGATATTAAAGAAGTTGTTAAGCATTTTCAAATGCTAATTAAATCTCCTGCAATGAATGCGGTTTCTTGATGTTCAGAAGTGTTATTTCCCTGCAGAATTAGCTGGTCCCCTGAGCACTGGCCCTCATATCCTGTTTTAGGGTGGCCACTTTTCCCTGCAGGGTCCTATGGAGCTACCCTTGTGTGTGCTGGTAAAACACAGACACAGCAAGGCAAGACACTCAACTTTGACCTACCCCCTCCTCCCTTCTCCAGTCTAGTTGATGGACAGCTGCTGGAGACTGCACTCTCCCTTGTGATCTTGTACTGGACAGGAGGTTCAGGGAAGCAGAGCTAAGAGAGTTGGAGCCTGTTTGGAAACATGATGATTGTAAGTGAAAAAAAGATTGAGATTTTAATACTACTTTAAAGGTTTGACTATATATGTACATGGAGGCAGCCATTTTCTGCAGGCTCAGGCTTATGCTTTTTTGTGCTACACATTGGATGTATTTCTCACAATGTAAGCCTATGAGTGCCCTGCTTGGCTGATATCTTATCTCAGAATTTGTTAAAGTGAACCTGTGCTTGGTCCATGCAGGGCAAAGTAGCAGTTTTGTTCTATTGTCCCCCTCCACAGCCACTTATATTGCCCTTTCTTTCGTTCCCCCACCACTCCGTTCACTCCGTGGTGCGGGCGATCCGTGCAATTCTCAGCTTGGGGTCCAGTGCTGGCTGCTGTGCTGTGACAGAGCTCCATCCATACATGCATTGCTTGTACAACTCCCTTGTGCGCCCTGTAGAGCTGCTAGGATCCAGAATGTGACGTCACTCCGGTCCAGGCACCTCTACAGGTCACGTGAGGGAGCTGTAAGCAATCCATGTATGGCCCTCACGGCCATAGCTCCAGCCCACCCCACCCCTCCAGCCCACCCCACCTCAAGCTGATACTTGGCGCCAGGCAGCATATTCTGAATGGCTGCTCAGCGCAAGAACTGATATTGCTACGCTAGGGGAAGGCTGAGGAGCCTCTCACTTAGAAAAGGGGAAGGCACGCGGCGACCCAATTAAAAACGAGGTCGCGACCCACTTTTGGGTCACGACCCACCAGTTGAGAACCAAGGCTTTAGAAGGAGCTTACACCTGACAAGGAACTCTCTACCCACCCTCATGTGATAATGCTGGGACAGTCATCAACCAGCAGCGCTGCCACAGGGAGTAAGTTACCTGCATACCTGGGAACTTTTAGAGGGCCTCGCAAACAGGGGGCCTGAGATTTCCGGGGGGTAGGACTATTGCTATGCGTGTCATGGCAAATATGTGGGCATAATAGTGACAGTCCTGCAAGGGATCAAATTATAGTAAACTTTCAACATTTCAACATTGATGTACATTTTTTTCATGTGTTACATTAAAGTGCAGGGTATAGTAACCAATCAGCTTCTATGTTTCATTTTCAAAGCATAACTCGACAAACTGAAGAGAGAAGCTGATTAGTTGTTATGGGCAACTGCTCCAGTTTTGATAAATTCCCCTTCTTCTTCCTTTTTTTTTCTTGTTTTAACATGCCTTGCAGTGTGCTATAATGCGTTTTAAAATGTTGCGGTGCATTTATCCCTTTTGCTGTGACTGACACAACACTTATGTTGGTGACAGCACAGCCATGTAAAATACCTGGGCTTTCCTCTGGAAGCAATCACTCCCACATGCACTGTAACCAGGGCCAGATTAAGAGCATCATGGGCCTGGTGCTGTGGGTCGGTCAGATGGGAAACGCAGAGGCGGCTCGCTAATTAGGTGACCACTCACTCCTCAAGAGCCCCATCAAATTGCCACTTGATATGCCTGATTAGAGAGGCACCGGAGTCTCTACCTGATTGTGTGCGGCCAGGCCTACCCAGATTGTCAACGGCCATACTGAGGTGATCCAGGCCGGCCAGGCCTATTTTTAGTGAAGGCTCTGGAGCTGATGCTTCAGTAGCCCCTATGACTGTAATGTGTCCCCCACCTCTCCTGAACCCCATGATATGTAGCCGGTCACTCCTGTGTTCCTGGGACCATCATGGCAGGTGTCAAGATGGAGAGTGACGGGAAACCAGTAAACATCCATTCACTGATATGCCCTGTGAAGAATGGCACAGGAAGCAATCAGCTCTGAGCACTTCTGGGTTTAGAGCTGCCATTTCCTGGCCTCTGTGGCTGGGGAAGAAACCTACTGAAACACGATCAAGGCTAGATTACCCTAATGAAAGTGCAGGGGTGACATTAGAGGTCTAAAAGACCCCCGATGAATGGGCCCTTAGTGAGCTCAATCGATTTCAACTCTGCCGAGTCGGTCATCTGTGGAGGAATTTTACGGATTGCTACAATAAATGTGCACGTGTGATCCTAATTCAGATTGATGAAATTATAATTTTTGCTGGTTTATCTTTGTTATTGAGTGATCATATTTTCCATCCATACTGTCAGTTGATCAGAAAAGTGCAGAACAACCGTATGTGTTGCATCGTGCGATATTTAAGAAAATGATGAATCGCTTATTTGCAATCACTTGAACCTAAATCAGTTTAAGGGCTCAGGTACAAATCTGTACATTTAATATTAATAAAGATAAGACTCATCAATGACTTCCAATGAATGAAAACCTGAGATAGATCATTTTTATAAACTACTCCTGAATATGTGCTGAAAACACTATACTCTGGAGCAGACAGACTCTGGAGAACCAATCAGCTTCTCTCATCAGTTTCCTTGTATAAGCTCTGATAATAAAAGACAAAGTGGTTACTATGGACAACTGCTACCAGGTTTATTTGCTCCAGTTTTGATAAATTCCCCTCTATCCCAGTTGCCTCCACCAGCACAGGCAAAGAAAACTAGACACCTGCATGCAGAAGTAACTAATCCATCCTGTTGCTGTCGGCTCCCATTCCAAAGATAGAGCACTTGCAGGTTCTGATGTCATCAGAATGCGCCCAGTGGAGAAATTCTGCTCGTGCGTCGTAGATCAGTGCTGGGAGCTGTCAGTGTGACCGAGAGCTCGTCTGAGCTTTGGCAGAGGTCATCATGCCCCGAGGTAGTCGCAGTGTTTCTTCTCGCCCAGCTGCCAGGTGAGATCTGCTCTGTCATTGTTCTGAAGAGGGAAAAAAACAGGTCACAGGGAAAATGTCACCACTACAAGGAGGGCTGTGATCTGTAGGACAGATTTGGAAACAGGGGGACTGCATGGCTGGCTGTGATCTGTAGACAGACTAGGGAACAGGGGGACTGCATTGGCAGACTGTGACCTGTAGACAGACTGGGGAACAGGGGGACCTCCCGAGGTTGGAGGAGGAATAAATAATTAACATAAACCTTGGATCACTTTGTTTTTGACAAAGGTCAAGCAGAGGAATTAAAACCTGTCACTAGCATATGGAGCTGTGGTCTTGTGCTTTCTGCAGGCTCTAGAACTATCCATTGAGCACAGTGGGAAGTTTACATTTTGTTAGTTACTTTTAGTAAGTGATGGGCACAATTATGCTCCTAGAACTGTTTAGTGTTTACCTAGTTCACGTGTATTGAAGGTCACAGGCATAGCTCTCCACAGACACAAGTTCTCCCATAGATATAAGCAGCATTTGAAAGTGTCCTAGTGGCAAAATGAATACTTTTAAAGCCTGTACAAGTATCCAGGGTGGATTGTAAGAACAGTATGGCATTTTAAAGCTGAACTCCAGCCAGGAGGAATGGTACATAATTAATTTGACCTTCACCCTCTCCACCCACTTTTATTCCATGCCAACCTTCCTCTTTAACAAGCAGATAGACAGATTCTCTAATTAATTTTTTTATGGTTTTTTTTTAATACCGCACTTCTTGTATTCTTACCTAGGCAAGAATGATATGTGTTTCCATATCCATGTCATGCATCCCACAAGGTCTCAGAATACTCTACGGCACATGTGCTGCAGCAGGTCATCGGAGGACAGTCTGTCTATTCCTGTTAGCAGACACCCCCCCTTCCTGCACCCAAAAAGTTGGAGCAGCTGCTGAACACAATAGCCAGCATCAGGGATTCCTCCATCCACACTGTTTAGCATGGATGGGGGAATCATTGGATTTCCCTCACTTAGCTGGCTAAAACAAAGTATGTATGGCCAGCTGCTGACAGTTGATATTGAAACAAGTGTAAAATAAAAATAACACAGTCCTAAAGGTAGATATCTAATAAACTAAAATAATTGTTATATCATATATTACATGAAAAGTGGTGATACTAGTTTGGTGATAGAAAAATTTGATGAATATATTGGTAGATATAATATATATATCATCAATATATAAAATAATGTGTTGAAATTCAAGTTTTATAGTGAGAAAAACTGTACTAAAAACAAACTTTGTTCAAGCTTCCTAGTGAAAAAAATTTACTCGCATCAAAAAGTGTCAGTGAAAAAAAATCAGCCATTCAATAATGGCATGTGTAAAACCTTATTTGAAAAATGAATCTCAATGTGCCAAACAAAAAATATTAAATACAAAATATTAAATAATTAATAATAACAATTGTAGATTAATAATAAATAAATTACATAGCGGGGTAACAAGCACCGGAAGTGGTTAAGTGTGAAAATCATGTAAAGTATGGTTTAGTGTTCTGATTGGGGCAATTTTCCAGCATGTAGCACATTTCAGATGTATTCCGGATGTATAACCAGTATAGTGTGTAAGGTCTGTATTCCCAAGTTTGGAGTGAAACTATCGGCTATTCTAGAATGATCAAATCTTTGATGGTGTACTAACTCATGTACGACCAGTGGTATTGTACTGGGAAAATGAAGTTGAATTATTTCTTTCCTAAAGGATGCTTGTAATGTATTTATTTGTAATTCCTCTTTTTCTGAACAGCTCAGCACCTTCTCATGTGCCGGCTCCAGCACACCCACCACCTTCCGCTGTATCTGCAGCTCCAGCTCCGTCTCAGGGGCCAGGGCTGATGGCTCAGATGGCTACTACAGCAGCCGGGGTAGCTGTGGGCTCAGCAGTGGGACATGTTATTGGCGGGGCTCTGACTGGAGCTTTCAGTGGAGGTAGCTCAGAGCCAGCCAAGCCTGCTGCACAGGTTAGTAATAATCCAATTGCATGTACAATGTGTTACCTCTGATTACTGACCTTTTGTAAAGAAACTTATTTGCTCCTGAACTTTAAAGTCCCAGCATATACTATCCTGTTATAAGATCAGCATTGTAATAGGAATACATACTAGAGTTGTTTTTAATAAAGAAATCAAAGCTTGGTTAAAAAAAAAAAATCCCTTTTATGTAGTCTGCCCATCACGTTCATCAACTTCCTGGATTCCCAGTGTGCTTTACATCTCCTACCCTGCTGCTTGATGTGATACAATCTTGATTTCTCAAGACTACATATCCCATCATGCATTGCTTCCAGCAAGCAATGACAATGTTACATTGTTCAGACGTTGAGTTGTAGGTCAGAAGGCAGGTGGTGACATAAGGAAGTGCATATTCACAGGGCTGAGTGAAATTGTGTCAGTGCATTGAGGAAGTACATCCTATGGCCATTTTCAATAAGTAAGTTTACAAAGTTCTAGATTAATATAGTTTTTAGGAGTGGGATAGAATCTTTGGAAATTAAATACAGAAATACATATTTAGTTTTAGGGTTTGACCATAGATACCCTTTAACCTCTTGCCATCCGCACGTAGTAAAAAAACGGACGGACGGCACTGCTGCATTGGCGGGTTGCCGTCGCCAGATGGCATTTTTTTTCTGCTCGCGCGCGCCCCCTAGCGCAAGATTGGCCATGGTCCTTTAAAGGAGAACTATGGGGTTAAAGCTTTTCCCCATAAACTAGCGTCCTCCCGTCACCCTAAGCTCAGTATACTGCGAGCTGTAGCTCGCGGTATACTGTGACGTCGCAGCTGAAGCGGATCCCGACAATTGTGCCGGGATCCGCCCAGCTGCGTCAGTGACAGCTGGCTCTGCCTATCTAGAGGCAGAGCCAGCTGTACCCGCCCCCTCCCCCGTCCGTTCCACCAGTCAGCGGGGAGGGGGGAATCCAGTCCGTCCTCTGCCGTGACAGGATCGAGAGGTGAGCGAACCTGGTATGTGTTCGCTCACCTCCCGATCTACTGAGCCGACCTGTGACAGTCTCATTGTCACAGGTCGGCTAGAACTACGAGGTGAGTGAAAAGCACTCACCTCATAGCATGGTCTGTTAATTATACCATTGAACGCATTTTGTTTTCTCTGTTTAAGAAGATACCTGTTTATCTTTCCCCAAATCCAAACCTGTGTTGTGCCCTGTGCCTGTGTTATCTCAGAGTTTAAAGTGACGCTAAACTCAGGAGTTAAATCTTAAATATGCATTCAAGTATCCTATTGACAAAAATGTATCTTATTTGTGTATCACTCGGCTGTAGATCCTCAAATCATCTCTGAATTGGTGCTGACACCGTCCTTCCTTCTGGAGGGTGGCTACTTTTGTTCCCCATGGTACCTGTGTGTGTTGTAAAGTAGTCACCGCTCCAAGCTTACTCCTGTGATGGGCTACAATCTCAATACACATTAGTTAACTAAACCATGCAATTATAGTCCATCACAAGAGTGAACTTGTATTTCTGGGTATGGCATACATATTGCTCTCTCCCCTTAAAGGCTAAGTTTGCTTTTCAGACCATCGTCCATGTTACCCCATATTTAGGCTGTAAATAAACATTTCACTGCATACCCTGGCCCCCAACTTCCCTGATACGTCGGCTTCTTCCCCCCACAAGCTAGTATTATTCTTTCGAAATTGGTAAAGCTTTACATGGGTCTTCCCACACTGCTGCATAATCAGGGACTACAATTCCCATCCGTCAACGCGGCAAAGGGACTTGTAGTTCTCAATGAAGTATAGGTTCTGCATTGTCACCACATGCATAGTCTATTGACTCCTCATCCCCGTAACTGAAAATTTGTGCCTGGGTACGGACAGAGGCTGGGAGGAATAGTTTGCAGGAGCCTGATCATTACAGCTGTGAGCCACTGATCTTGGTTTTAATGGATCCAAAGCAAAAAATAATAAATACACATTTTTTTTTCTTTTTTGAATGTGTGCATGTATTTTTTGTAAGGGTGGACTTTGCCTTTAATCTTCCTGGTTCAGCTGTGCAAATTCCAATGTCATGTTGATGCCTAGACGTTTCATTGGGCCGTGAATTAGCTTTGTCAACCATGTTGTTGAAGGCAGTTTCTAATCTTTTGTTGTAAAATCTTTGTTTCTCTTGTAGGAGGCACCCAAGCCTACCTTCTCCCAGCAGCAACAGCCGACTCACAACCCCTGTCACTATGAATTGAAGGAATTCTTGAACTGTGCTACGACTAACAATGACCTGACCCTGTGTGAGGGATTTAGTGAAGTCCTAAAGCAGTGCAAAAACAACTATGGTGAGTTATGAAGGAGGAAGGGGAAGATGATGTGGAATAGTATTCATATAGTCTTGTAATTGTGTAGCAATGATTCCTTTGCAGATAAAATAAACTAATAGGTGAGCAGACTAGTGATTCCTTGAGAACATTTTAACCCCTTGATGCCGACCTCACGCATATATGTAGTGTTACGGAGGTGGGATTTCTTCAGTAGCGCAGCATGTTTTTGTGCTGGGAGTACGCTTCAGCATGGAGTTTGCAACTGTCACTGACAGCTCCTGGTCCCAGACTAATGATCGGGAGCTGGGAGGACCGTCCCCCAATCACTGTAACAGCCAATCACAGTGATCACTTGTTTTGGACGCCTCCTTTGCATCTCTTTCTTCTCTGTAAGGAGAAAATGTTGAATTGTATCTTTTTTCTCCCCATCTAAAAGATAAGTCTGTGCAAAAAGTTTGTTAAAAAAGACAATAGGTGAGGGCTTGATTTAGGTTATTGCCAGGGTCAATGTGTCTTAGGTAGGATTAAAAAAAGGTTTTATAGTTGGATTATTCACTCGCAGTTCACTTGCTGCTGTTCGCCCTATTCTTATAGGGGTCCAACGGCAGTGAGTAAATAGCCAAATGCCGCTGAACAGCATTCGGCTTGGTTGTACTGCTTGCTAGCTCAGCTTAAAAAAAATAGGTTTCACAGCAAACTGTGGCTCGAAGCAAATGGACCAGATTTGATGCAAGTTCTGAGTTGTGTGATTCAATCCCTAATAACTATGGCCTGGGTTAGTGCTTTCTTAAATCTAAAATGTTTTATTTTTTTATCGTTTTTGACAGTTATCAGTATCTGGGCTCATATCCTGTATCCTTGGTGTATTCATTGATCCAATGGCTTCCCTTTATTTGATTTAAAGCTGAACTTTAGGTAGATTAAAAAAGACACATTATTGCAGCTCTGTAACCATTAATACACAATGTATTAATGTATTTTATGCGAGCTGTGCAAGTACCTGAAATTGCCCTGGTATCAGCCTCTTACAATCCCTGTATAACAGAGCTGTGCAAGAAAAAAATCATACTGATAGGAAAGTAAAGCAATAATTGCTGGGGATGCTGGAAATGTAAGTATCGCTGCTGCAGCAGTCAGAAAGTACTCTATATGGCGCATATTACTGTTAGTAGTAGTCATGAACAGGAATTGATGGTGTGTTGCTGTCTTCATGATCTACAAAATGTAATTTGTACTTGTGCTTCCCGCAGGTATCTCTTCCCTCGTCTAAAATTCTCCTGGGTCCCTGCTGGATTGTGAAGAGCCATTTCTCAACAGTATCAATACATTTTAACTCTCTGCCCACTACATGTCCAGAGAGCATTGCACATGTTCTGAAAGTTATCTATATTGTCTTTCAGAAGAATAGATAATAAATATATTTCTATTTTAACTTAGCTTTAATTGTTGTGTATGATTCCTTGTACAACTCGTATGAAAATGTGGTTTCAAAATCAACCCCAAAATGATTTAAAACATATGAGTAAAATAAGATCAGCAGGTAATTTCTGTACTTGCTAAAACTGTTCTTCATCCGAAAAATGGAAATGAACATAGCCATCACATCTAAGGGCTGGTCATCTGCAATGTATTAAATTTGTACTTTTGGGTTTAGGAGAGAAATATATAATAAAATATAGAAGAGCAAGCTTGTAGAAATGTGACAGTTTAGTAAAAACACAATACAAAAATAACTGAAAATATGTCCACAGGAAATACACTGTTCTTTTACCTTTAAGAAGTTGCCAGTCTACGGTGCATGGTAACTGAGTTACATGGTGTCTGTCCTGTCACATATGTGTACACCTACGCTTTAATAAATGTGTACAGGGGAGTTTTACCATCTAGCTGATGTTCACATACTTGTGATCAGATCAAAGTCCTTCCATGCTCAGTGGAACGTTGCAACATAACGACTCCATGCAGACAAACTAGAGTGCTGGATGTGTCTTTTTTTAAAATATGTAACATATGTGATGTAAATATAGTTCCAGCATAGGGAGGAAAAAGGTGACTTATTCAAGTACTACTTCATTCCTGCATCCAGAACCAGTGTGAAAATTCCACTATCTGTTCATCTGTTCAAATGAATGGAAAGTGCGTAAATTGCAAACACCCCCAGACATTGCAGTCTGTATTAATTTCAATGTGTCCCTCTGTTCCATTTTTAAAGTGACACTAAACTCAGGAGTAAAATCTTAAAAATGCATTCAAGTACCCTAACTACTAACAAAAATGTATCTTATTTGGTACTCAGCTGTAGATCCTCAAATCATCTCTGAATTGGTGCTGACACTGTCCTTCCTTCTGGAGGGTGGCTACTTTTGTTCCCCATGGTGCCTGTGTGTGTTGTAAAGTAGTCGCTGCTCCAAGCTCGCTCCAGTGATGGACTACAATCTCACTTTTAGTTTACTAATTTGTATTGAAGTTAGACTATCACGGGAGTGAGCTTGGAGCGGTGGCTACTTTACAACACACACAGGGACCATGGGGAACAAAAGTAGCCACCCTCCAGAAGGAAGGACAGTGTCACCACCAATTCAGAGATGATTTGAGGATCTACAGCTGAGTGATGCACAAATAAGATGCATTTTGTTAATAGTTAAGGTACTTGAATGCAATTTTAAGATTTTACTCCTGAGTTTAGTGTTACTTTAATGATTGACACTCAATATGCATATGTCTAACTCTCTAGGTAAGGATGGACAGGGTAGTCTTGGACCATTCACCTAGAAAAACAAGCGAGTATAATCCTATCCCAGCTGACCACTGTACCTGATTTCACAGTCTCCTTTAGATTTAACAGCAGTTATATGCTATGAGAGCATTCCTGAATGGGCAGACAGTGATCAAAGTGGTTAGGTTAACTTTTATAGCCCCATGTGGCCAGCTTTAAAAGTATGAGAACCATTATTTTTTTATTTATAGTAATGTACTAATAGTAACTAATTTATGATTTGGAAATGTCACTGAGTTCTATAAATAGTCCCAGGTTTTGAAAATCTGTACCTGGATGTCGGCTCTGATGTCAGTACAAAAAGATTGAATATCTTAATGTTTTATATTATATGAGGCACTGAGTGTAACAGAGCAATATGAAGCACTGCGTGTAATGGAGTAATCTGAGGCGCTGCATATAATAAAGGTAGTAGGCACTGTGTAGTAGAGGTGTTAAACACTGCACTCCATGCAACAGAGAGCCATGGAATGGTGTCAAAGGGAAGGGGCAGTGCAGCTCACATGTTGACACAGAAAGGGAAATGAGTGAAGGTGTATGATTTGTTGTAAACATGTTAATCATCTGTGGCCAGGAAGTAGCATAACTCTATGCCTTCTCGAGGATGTGTTTATTTCTAGGGAAGGTGGAAGTGACATCACATCATCCTTTATAGATTAGGATTAGTTAGGAGAATAGAATCAGTTTGTTTGTGGTATGGCCGATCTCACCAGGGGCTGATGTGTGTGCGATAGAGTGCACACTTGCCGTGTGCTCTGGAAATCTGTGACCTCACTTCCTGTGTCTGCAGCCTCATCTCTTTGTTTAGGAAATATGTGACTTCACTTTAATATACAGTATGTAGGGATCAGTATACTGGAGCAATTGTGGGTACCTAAAATTTCAGTAACTTTTTTTAGTATCCAAAAGGTAAAACCCGGTCGCTGACACATTTCAGCCTATGCAGACCTTAATCAGGCCGTACAAGGATTTTAGGAAAAAGACAACACTTGTATGTATTAAACTAATCCTGCTTTTGGTGTGCTGCCAGAAAAGCTATAAGAACCTGAATGGATCAGCACTGCTCTAATTCCTATTAACGGCATACAAATTAATAATGTTTTATTAGAAAAAGAACACGTTATTATACCAAGCAACAATAACCTACATAAAATGTGTCTAACCATATTAAAGAAATAATTATTTCATGAACCACAGTATAATACAATGATATATATGCAAGGACTGAAAACCAACCACCATAAATATCCCCTAAATAGTTAAACTGAACCCAAAAGAAAGATTGTAAACAAATACCATAATGCAGTACATGTAACACATCTAGGCAAGTCCTGCAATAACCTTTCCTGAATGGAAGCTCACTTCTACCATCTAGTGGCAGAAATAAGATTTGCAATTGAAATGTATAGGACGAATACATAAATGGTAGCAGCTAAACTGTTAAATACAAATAATAATCAGTATATTTAAAACATTGGTCTGATGTAAATATATCAACATCATATCTAAAATTAGAATTCTGTGTTGTCCTTTTTATTTTCGATTTTTCACCTTAGGGACCCAAAGCTACCCTCTTTGTACTGTATGTCAGAAGACTAAGATCCGAGATTAGTTTTATGTACCTTCCAAAAAGACATCAGGATTAAATGCAATATATATGTTAATGATCTCTAAAAATCGTTTCTTCTAGTCAATTCTCCTCATCCTAGTCAGTTCTCCTATTGGGATGCATTTTATTGCATATTTTGAATTACAACACTTAGCTTGTTAAAGAGTTGCCTGGTGTAGATTTACAGGAATAATTGTTGGCTATGGAATGGGAAATTTCATCTTAATGTGTGGAATTAGAACTATATAAAAAAAAAAAAGAATATCGTCTCAAGTTGTTATTTATGATACCTTTCTTTGTCATAAGATTTATTGTTTGGCTCTCACTTTGATGGTAGTAGAAACCTTTTGAAGATAAATTTACCCCAGCATAGGAACAGAAAGTCTTTTGAAATGTTGGCAAACATACATGCAGCAGAGAGATGTATGATTTGTATGTGGCTTCTCCAGTACAATACATATTAAAAAAAGGCAACTAACTAAAAGGTATTAACAAAACCATGTTCTTACATTGTATCTGTGTAAGCTGTAATGTAATGACTGTAAATAGTCCCCAAAATGTACACCAGCTCTTCAGGCTGGCCGGCTTTTCTGCTGGGAAGCAGTTCTTGGTTTTGTAGGAGAAGTAAAAGGCGTTTCTTTGGATGCTCGAGATTTCTTGCCGGCTGGATTGCGCCATTTGTCCCGCACATGAGGATTAGACAGCTTTTGTAGGCGTTCTGGCAAAGAGACATACACATAGTAATCGTCATCTCTGGATTTGATTTACTGTACATGGATTCACAATAAAACATATAATAAGCTTAAAATAGGGTTAAAGTATGTCTGTGCAAGATAGGAAAAAACAAAACAAAACGTACATTACATCTTTACAATACTTACCATACTGGAAAATAACTGATGATCCTGCTATAAATCCAATAACCAAAAAACTTCCTGCTGTTGACTGACAACACTGCCTCTGCTGCACTGAGATACCAAGAAACGTTGCCTGATTTCTCTGCTGGACTACAAAACTCTACCTATTCCCACACCTCTCTGTCCCTCTCCACATGCATACATTGATTTCTCTCAATGAAAATAAGTGATGTTGCCCTGTCTCCCAATTGCCATCCCATGCACTGTGTGTAGTTCTGGAGGCATGTCTACGTTAAAAAGGGCTGACTACGAAGACCCTGCTGATGCCTCCTTCCAGTAGCTGTCCCTGCACAAATTTTACAAACCTGGTGTTATTATTAAAGTAATAAAAGCTGTTTTTCAATATAGGTAAAATAAAAAAAAAAATGTTGAGGGTTGTTTGGGTCATGATTATATAAATCCTATAAGCTTAGTATAAAAGAACTATTATTATTACTATTATAACAAACATTTTTCATGCCTGCAGAAAACTTAAGATATTAGCCATGAATATAAATAGAGCCTACTGCTCAATGCCCAAAGACCACTTCTGTTTGTGTAGATAATGACTGTATTTCCATTGCTTCTCTGCACAGTCCAAATGTTGATAAAGCCAGAAGCCCAAACCAGACCTGGCTACCTTGTAATAGCAGAACAATTACTAAATAATACATTATTTAAGCCTGTTTCACACCAAGGCGTTTTTGAGCAGTAGGAAAAGCACATTTAAACACCCAACACAAGAAATCCCATGATTTTCAATGGCCCCTGTTCACACCTGTGCTGCAAAATGCCAGAAGCAGAAAAGAGTACAGGAGCTTCTTTTGGCAGTTTCAAGCTTGTTTTTCCCACTAGACTTCAACGGAAACGCGCAGCAGAAGCACGTTGCACATTTGTGTGCGCATTTTTACATTCGTTTGTCTATTGAGTGCAATGTTTCTTAAGTTGCCAGTCAAAACGCGCATCTTCATGTGTGTGCGTTTTCACAAGTGTGCGCATATGCACAAAAATGATGCCGCCTAGGTATGAACTAGGCCTTATAGCTTCTAATAGCAGAGCTGTCTAGAGTATTAAGTGTAAAAATTGGCCAAAAAAAACAGAGCGCTATAGAATGCTGAGAAGTAGGGAGGGCTCCTAAGATTTTGAACTCTGCCACATGTGAATGACTATTACAGACACCAAGACAGAATTTTTTTTTACTGAAAGGGTTGTTGTTTTTTGAAAAATTGCATTAGAGTTATATATTCAACTTAGAAAATATATTATATAATATATTCAAAGTAGTGGAGAGTGGAGTTTCCTTTAACACAAGAGAGTGAAAAGCAATCTTGTAAACCGTGATATTCCAAATGTCAAAAACATAACATGACATGACATAATTCAATGAACTAATGCAGGACAAACACCTCCTAATAAGCATTAACCTAATGCCCTCCTACTTCACTAGGAAAATCTGACTGTTACTTATGTGCCTTGACCATGGTGTATGGGGTGTGCAGCATATCACTCCAAAGGTGGGATCCTTAAAAAAAAAAAAAGGGTCTCCAGGATTAAATTAATCCATGTGATTTCTTTGTTTGGTGTGAAGACAATAGACAGCAGCAGGTTCTAACCATGGTTGGGACTGCGGTGATCATGGTGATTAGATGTTTTTTGTTAAAGGAGAACTATGGGGGTCAGTGTTTTTCCCCATAGTTCTCCTTAAATAAGAAACCATTCTTGTTTGCTGTTTTATACTATGTAGCTGGTTGAGCCATACTTACCTCTAGTGACTACTGCTAAACATCACTTTTCTTTACACAACTATATACTGTATATGCATACAACAATGTTAATACATGGATATATAACAGATAGATAGATAGATAGATAGATAGATAGATAGATAGATATTGTTCTCTTGTGACCCCCTGTATGTCATAACAATTTGGACTGCATACTGAATCAAAGGTTTTCTAAAACTGTTTTTTCATTTGATTTATTCTTACCTGCTAGCTCTGGGTGACGTTTCGCTAGGTTTTCCAGCATAGACTCATAGCGGGCTGGCTCTGTTCCATCACCTCCTACAATTTAAGTTCCTACAAGTTAAACACAGGCTATGGATAGTTCTGCTCAACAGCAAACCTGTGGCTACAGACATGGGCACAAAATGTAATCTACATATATAAAAGGCATCATATGATGTCTACTGCCAGTTTAGTCTCTGTCATGTTGTGTCGGGGGAAATACACAAACACAAATCCGCTTAGGCAGGCAGTTATATCTAGCTATAGGCACACTCACCCAGCATTCCACAGTGTAATATTTCAAATCTGCACAACCCAATGCATGGCTCGAGCATTGTTCATCAGAAGGGTTTTGGGTGTGCTTATGCTTAAATAAGATAATGGGTGTCACAATCTGGGGACCAGGGCACTAGAGCACGAGAGGTTAGGGTCCTGCAGAGCAGGCTGGAATCACGGACTGGAGTGAAAACTGGGCTGTAGGTCACTGCAAACTTAAGGACTAAGAGTCTGTGCATTATTGTGGACTCACTAGAGGCGCAGAGTCTAAGAAGGGCCGGGTCTTCCACAGAGCCTCTTATGGTGAGGATGATTGGTTGCCGGACACCTTCCAGGTTCCGGCCCTCTAGCACACCCACACAGACAGCTTCTGCTATTCTTGGACTGGGAATAGCAGACGCTCACAGGAGAAGTGCACACAAGGAGATACAGGTAACAGAAGATACACACAAGAAGCAGCAAAAGGTGACGAATGCGCACAGGGAGTGTGCGTACAAGGAGGTATTGAACACAGATTGCACAGAACAGAGAGCACACAAGAAGAGGGGAAGGCCTGCAAGACACTGAGGTGAGGTAAGTAAACAGGAATATGGTACACTGGGGAAAGGCAGGCAGTAGTATGGAGAATCCAGGTAAAAAGGGAAGACAGATACACGGAGCTTGGCGAATAAGAATACTAAAGCAATATAGCAAGACCTGCAGCACACTGGAAAAAGCACAGGAAGGTCTCAAGGAATATACACAGGTACATACCAGGAACTTAGAAAATAACAGGAACTACAAGAACAAGGTAGGGACTAAAGCCAAGTAGATAATCCAACACGCTACACGGGAAGCCAAAAACACAGGGATCCAAAAAAGCACAGGGAATGCCGATCACAGGAAACACGAGGGGTCCGACACAAGAGATAAGACTTGTTGCTCAAACCCAGAGCAACAAGCGAGGTAAGGCTAAATAGGGGAGGAGGAATGCAGATTGGCTGCAGCCTTGTGACACAGAAGGCTGTCAGCAAAGTACCAGAGACTGAAGGGAAAATCTGGCATGGATTCCCGGACATTGTGACAATCGGTAATTGAATAGGTATTTTGTAGGGCTTAGTGGGTTCACCAGAGGGATAACAACAGTTATATGGTAACTTCTTTCATTTGCAGCTCTCATTTAATGCCCATGACTATAGTCACTGGTTGTTTTAAGCAAAAAACATTCTAAAGGAGAATTGTGTGCTGACCGGCTCTGTACGCTGCTGCACTCAAAATGCATCCCAATGTATCCCTATGTGTTTTATGGGCTACAGTTCTCACGTGCGCAGTCCGTTCAGCTTACGACAGAAAAAGTGCTGCATGTCACATTTTGTCCAGTCCGGAAACGCACGAACGCGCACAAAACGCAACGAAAACGGAACTGAAACGCAACGCAATGCAGCTAAGGGGGATAAAAAGAAAAAATTGTATTCTTGCTCCACTTATTATGATGTCATCAACGTTGACAAAAAATTAACTGTCAGCATCCGGACCGAAAACGCATCAAAAACACATAAAAAACGCACTGCATCAGCAGCTCCACGTCTGTTGATCAGCACCTGATCATGACCTGATCTCATGTGAACAGGCCCTTAGTCAAAATATATTTATTTGTTTGCTAGAACTAGTGATATAAACTAGCGCAGATCTAAACAAATAAGGATATTGTCTAAGGCTACATTCACATGGGTGATCTGGAGCAGATAGTTTGCTGAGTTCAGAGGCACCCTGTACTATGGCTGCATACAAACTGGCTGATTAGCTGCGATTAGTGTAGCCAGAATATCTGCAGAAACGCTGTCCCTGAACACACAATGTTTGCGTCCAGGGTCAGTCAGAGGCTCTATTCTTGTATGAGCAGGTACATGCGAACAGCGGCGGCACCGGCCATTGATTTGTACAGAGGACAAATCTGACAGCTGCCGCTGCTGTGCACACATGCTTTGTGCATTCAGCAGTAGGTCCAGTGGCAGGAATCCTAGTGATTCTCATCAGGGCCACCCCTTGCTGTCTGTGTGAATATAGCCTTGATAGGAAGAGCTGTTAACATAAGATTTTTTTTTCTTGCCTAACACCTGACCTTTAGTAAGTGGTTGGCTGCATCAGGGTTATGTTTTTAACTCTTTTGTACTGGTAGTTTTTATTTGATTTTACTATATAGTAAAGAATTACACAAAATACAAAAGGAAATAGATAACATTAGGAACAATAAACGACATGATTAAAAAACACCATATCTATGTGTGTACTTACGGATTATTTTGACCAATATATAGCACTGTCGTTCCTTTAGATGATTAGTAGCAACCTCTTGAGAACCCTCCAGATCACTGAGATTTATTAGCGTTCCTGATTCATCCAAGAGATCTATAGAAACTGTAGAAGACAGAGTAGTAAGACAAACAGGCAGATAGGTGGGGATTTGGGCTGCCTATAGCCAGCCTAATAAAAGAAAGCAATGTTCCCAATTCCTTGTGCACTGTTATTCCAGCCAGTTGCAAAACTAAAGATCATGGTGCCCCATAGTATAGCAAAGTTTGATGTGCCTTTTCCCTGGCAACATCCCTCCTGTCATTGATCTTATTAAAAAGTGGGTCTATATTATCTTCACATGCACATGGGAACACCTTCTTCTACCAGGCCACATAAAAGCTGTGTGGGGTACTGTTGGCTTGAAGTGATTTTTGTTTACACCTGGCCTATCCTTTCTACACCCACCTTGCCTGTGCCATCCCCCTCCCCAAGCATGATCTGTGCATGACCAGCTTCACTGAGGTTCATAGATGACCTTAAAAAAGACCTGTCACAAGCAATATGCTGTCACCTATATCAGTGTCATCCAGTCCCAGAAACAGTGTCATCCACCCTTCTACCACCATTCACCCCTCGACAGGGTTCCTTAAAATAATTTATAATTATATATGTAAATGGGGGTAGCCATATTTGCCTATTCCATACACAGGCTCTGCTTCCTGCTTTGTAGTGCTACACGGTGGTTCTGATTTATGGCTCTATCTTATATCAACACTTGTTGAGTGGGGAGAAGACATAATTATAGTAGCTAATTTAATTTTGCCATTGATTGCTAAACTACTAATCTCTATATTTCAGATAGTAACAAAAATATATAAGAGCAAGCATTTAAAAGAGAAGTAATGCCAACCTTCTTTTTTTACTTTACTTCTCTTGTGTCACAGCAGTACATTTACTAATTCCTGCTCTCTGCTGCCAGTGCAGAGCCACGCCGCAGCTAGGAAGGAATCCCCGACAACACTTTTGGGATCCACCCTGGCTGACTATGTGGTGGCTGACTATGTGGTGGCTGACTATGTGGTGGCTGGCTCTGGCTCTCCAGCTGTGACTACCCCTTCCCTTATCTGTTCCTCCAATGAGTGCTGGAGGAACAGCGAGAGTCACTGCTCTCTGAAGGGAGAAGAGTCCAAGAGCAGACCGATCAGCAGTTACATGATTGCTCAGCTCATGGTATATGGAGCAGGCATGGGATTGTTGCAGTATCCTACGCCAGCTCTAAGCAGTGGGACAAATCTGTACCACAGGTGCCAATTTTCACAATACGCTGAACTGTATTTCTTTACCTCAGACAGAGAACTTTAAAAATTGTACTGGTTGGTATTGGTTACCACAGAGGGATATTTGCACAATTTTATTGGCCATTACAGGTTATTACAGAAGGATATATGCAGTTTTTTAACAGCACTTTGATAGATCTGATTATATGTTTTATTAAGATTGCACACAGGAGCACTTGCTGATATTTGTATATCACTATTTTAGTTGTTTATATATGTTAGGTTTTTATTAATATTACACATCCAAAATGGCTTTCTGATTTTGATTTTATTCAGGTAGTTTTTATCTGGACATTATTTAAATTTAGGAGCTGTGTTTAAGCAGTTAGAGAAGGGAAAGTATGTTTTACTCTCCCCGCACTTCTCCTTTAAAAATGTAAGTCATATCAAACAATTCTGGCACTGGATTGCATTGCGGCCGGCTCACTTTGTTGTGGGGCGGGAGGGGGCGTGGCGGGGCATTGAAGTGAATGGCACCGCAGCCACGCCCTCCGGCCACACTGCCATCGGCCGCACGGGAACTCGTGGCTCATCAATGCCTGCGTTCCAGTCCGGTCAGAAAAAATAGTGCTTGCAGCATTTTTCTGATCGCACCGGACCGCAGACATTGATGTGCCTTCAATTCCCATGCAGCCGATCGCATTGCGGCCGGAGGGTGTGGCTACGGTGTCATTGAGTTCAATGCACCACCATACCCCCTGCCGCCCCACAACAAAGTGAGCCGGCCGCAATGCGATCCAGTGCGTTCCGGCCAGAATCGTGCCGGAACACACTATGGCTGGTGTGAACTAGCCCTAAAGGCATTTTATTACCCTATTTTAATTTGCACTTCTCATCTTTGCCCTTTACTTACCCTCACTTCCACATTGACACTTCTCCCTCAAGACTTCTGCTAAATTCACCAGCTTGCAGTTAGGATTCAATAAAATTTGATTATCAGCTGGGAACAGAATAAAACAAAGGGTTAGATTGTCTTGTGGTTTAACTGAAACAACAAATAGTCCAAATCTAAACGGACCAGAATGTAATACTGTATAAATTATAAAAGGATGAGTCAGTACATTTCTGAGGCAGGCTTGTCACATTATACTTATAGGAAATGTGTAGAGAGAGAACTCAGTTTCTGACAACTCCCATACTTTCCAGGGACATGTTCCTCGGGGGGACAGTCAGCAGTGCTCATGCAGAGAGAGCAGTACTAATTAGGGCAGCGTTTCTACCCTTCCCAATTCACCATCACCAATTTCCTGTTGCTATTGGTTACTGCATTTTGTACATCATTGCCTTGTATTCTCCTATTGGATACCCCATTTTTCTATTTTCTGTGGAAGGCAGAAGACCAGGAAGAAATATACATACAAGTGTCTCTGGGACTTCTCACCTAGGATATGGATTGTGATATGTCCAAGGATGTGCAGCTATTGAGCAGGATATGTTGGGGCAGTGGTATCTGCAGGGTAAAGGGAAGGGGTAGTATGTATACACAGTGCTGAGTTAGGAATGGGGTAAGTAAAGGTCTAGAGAATTTTCCAGGAGAACTGTGGTGCTAAACTGGGGTTCTGTTCTTTTTTTTCACACAAGTACATTTTTGTCCATTCTCTATGTTTGTAAAGTTCAACAAACTGGAAACTTTTGCTAGCAGTAACTTTGTCTAATGCTGATTATGCACTATACAAACCTCCCAAGAAAGTTAACAGATTCTTTTTGGAATAATTACAATGTACATGTTAAATGCATGTCCAGCCAAAACGTGTTTCTTTATTTTGGATAGAGTGGGGAAGAGTTAGAACCCATGTCAGTTTTTACCTCTGTCCAGGGCTCCGTTCCAGAGATATGCCCTCACTTCCTATTCTGCTGACAACATTTTACCAGACAGGAAGTGAGGGCAAACTCTCTAACAGAAACACAGACAGAAATAGTGTTGACTTTAGTAGTGTAGGAGAAGGCTTTTTATTGCTGTCTGTGTCCCCTTTGCAGATTTTCCCTCACTTCCTGTCTGGTGAAAGCATTGTCAGCAGTACAGGAAATGAGGGGAAGAGGTAGAACCCATGTCAGTTTTTACGCCTGTCTAGGGCTCCATTCCAGAGATATCCTCTCACTTCCTGTTCTTCTGACAACATTTTAATAGACAGGAAGTGAGGGCAAACTCTCTAACAGCAACACAGACAGAAATAGTGTTGACTTTAGTAGTAGGGTTGCCACCTGTCTGGGATTCACCCGAACAGTCCAGGTTTTGAATGCTGTGTCCGTGTTTCATGGCAGCAGAAACCCGGACACAAGATGTCAGGCAGAGAGGGGCAACCAAAATTAAGATAGGGACTACTGGCCCCCCACTGAAAATAGTCTCAACTGTGATATTTACATACGAATGGGTGCCGCTATTTATATATGAATAATCCGCGACTCATTCTCCCCAAAAAGATGTCCGCACATCGCTAGAGTGTACGGGTTTCGCTTGAAGAAAAGGTGGAAACCCTATGTAGCAGAAGGCTAGATCCCTGTTCAGATTTTTATTGCTCTCTGTTTCCCTCACTTCCTGTCTGGTGAAAGTATTGTCAGCAGTACAGGAAATGAGGGGAAGTCTCTCTAAAAGAGCCTCAGACAGAAGTTAAAACCTGATAGGGGTTCTGACCCTTGACATACCCTTTAACACCAAGATGATAATTACGCACAGAGAAATAAAGAAAACCTGTATGTACTGTAGCAGGCTGGAAATATTTCTCACACATCATTCCAAAAACGATTTGGGCAAAGAAACACATTAGTTATCGGCTTTAGAGAATGTTTTGGTAATTAGACAGTTGTAGGATGTTTTGCCATAACTGAAGCTCTGGCCATGTATATCCAGCAGGGTGAGTATACTACTACCAGACAATATAATATGACATAACGTCATCAAGCTACATACCTCCATACTTCACAGTGATAAACATCTTATATGCTGTCCTGATGCCTCACAACAATCACGCCTTGGTCCTCAGCTCCTAAAAATACACGAATATCGTTGAAAATGTGGCTCTGTCCTGGTTGCTTACACTGCGGCAGAACGGAGAGGAATTGTTGTTAGTGAAATGAGTAGAGCTATTGTCTCTTAAATGGCTCAGCTCAGCAAAGAGTGAAGTCTTTTGTCTTGGTATCTAAGAGGCAACAAAAGCTTCTGCCAAGAAGCCTCCAATTATCCTCTATGGGATTTTACAATGACAAAAGTAGGAGGAACAGGTTTTAAGTCAGCACTCTCATCAAATCTCAGTACAGGAATGCAAGTAACTAAAAACAACAAATTCATGTTGTTGCGTCATGCTGTGTAATAATACCTGTAGGACTGGTCAGAAGTGTTGGTGTTTGGTGAGATATAATATAAATGTCTGATGTGGTTATATGTGTACAGCTGGGTGCTGGGCATATGTAAGTAAATTTGCTGGATACAGGGGAATATTACAGTTTTGTAAAGCAGACTGAGGCACTGGATACATTGTTGTACTTATTACATACATGTCCTGAGTAGAGGAGAGCTCACATTCAGGCCGAATCAGTTCCAAAGCTGAGCTCCTCTGAACTTCCACCTAATCAGCAATGGCCGCCCAGTAGCTGAATATAAACAAAGGGTCGGGATTTTTTTTCTGACATCATTTACCTTATATGGTCATATAGCCATATTAGGTCAATGGGATTTGCCAAATATAGGCATGTAGCCATATAAAGTCAATGCATCCTGCCCCCTTCCTTACGTCATGCTGGGGACAGGGATTTCGCCCCGCGCTTGGGAGAAGCTCCCTTAGGGTTCAAGCTTTCTCAGGTTAAGTCTGGTTTGGTGCAAAGCTGAGCTCATCCCTAGTCCTGAGTACATTTTAGAAGAGGTCCATCTCCTAGACCAGGGGTAACCCAGGCACTTTAGCTGTAGTGAAACTCCAACTCTGGGACTCATGTCTTGCAATGTCTCATAGGACTTGTAGTTGCACAACAGATGGAGTGCCAAAGTTGCTTACCCCCCGTGCTGGACTTTTTATACCTTCCATGTGCTTCCACTTACTAGGTTAGACTCAGTGTGGGGGAATTTATCAAAACTGGAGCGGACAGAATCTGAAGCAGTTGTCCATAGTAACCAATCAGCTTCTCTTTTCAGTTTTTTTTAAGTTAAGCTACAGCTTTTGAAACAAAAGCTGCTTGGTTGCCATAGGCAACGGTTCCCGTTTTGATAAATTCCCCTCAGTGTATCTAAATGCTTGTTCATACTAGCAGCATTGGGCTGTGTTTGGCATGCCCACTGCAGCCACAACACAAGAATAAGACAATTTACCTTATGTTCTATGGCTTCAGTTCACACCCACATGCTGCCTTGGTGTGCTCTGAAACAGACAGAATCTGGAGCAGTTGCTCATGGCAACCAATCAGCTTCTCTCTTCAGTTTGTTCAGTTAAGATTTGAAAATGAAAGAGAGAAGCTGATTGGTTGGCCTGAACAACTACTCCAGATTTTCTCTGCTCCAGTTTTGATTAATGCCCCTCACTGTATTTTTGCTGCAGCACATAGAATTACATGTAAGGCCTTGTTCACACCAATAACAGCGTGTTCCAGAGCGGTTAGCTGCTGCAACGCACTGTACTTGAGTTTTGAGGTGGGAGGGGGTGTGTTGGTGCATTCAAGTCAATAGCACTGCAGCCACACCCCCTGCCTGCAGTGTGATCGCCCGCACTGGACCGCGTGGCAAAACAATGCCTGCCTTCCGGTCCAGTGCGATCACAAAAACTGCAGCATTTTTTATGATCGCACTGGACCAGAATGCAGGCATTGTTTTGCCACGCGTTCTGGTGTGGGCTATCGCACTGCGGGCACGGGGCGTGGCTGCGGTACCATTGACTTGAATGCACCACCACGCCCCCTCCCACCTCAAAACTCAGGGGGGAGTTTAGTGTCCAATACAGTGCATTCCAGCAGCTAACCGCTCTAGAACGCACTGTGAACAAGCCCTAAATAAAGAATAAAGCAAAAGCAAGCACTGCAATGCATTTACACCGCACACCAACGCACACATGTTATGTGCACAATAATGTGCACTGTTTGGTGTGAACAAGCCCTAAAGCTAGATTTTGGAATTGTCAGCGGTTAGAACCCATGTCAGGTTTTTATTGCTGTCTTCGCTTCAAGTCACATATTTGTCCTAATTTTCAAGGAAGGCCCCACGACCAAGCAAATTTATGTATCAATATGTAAAAGTAGATGGCATTTTCTCAGGGCCAAATGTCTACATAGCCATCATAGGCTGTGGACAAGGGTGGTAAATAGCAGAGTAATTCTTTCCGGGATCTTTCGCGGGTGTCAGGGAACCGCTATCTTATAGCGGGAGACTGCCGAACGTCCAGGAGAGTTAGGATACTTGTCATTACAGGATGTTTATTTATAATGACATGTAATAGAAGATACAAAACGCAAGAACAAACTGAAGCAACACGCAACTCTCTTTAGTCATACCCTCTACCCTTTATACAGTAGTCCCCTCCCATGTGTCCCCAGAGCCCTCTTCTTTTCAAAAGGATAATACATAAAGATAAACATGTTGGAGTGTCAGTACACAATATACACAATATATATTACATTTAAAGTGTATGTATGCCCAAAACCTGATACAAAGTACAAGTCATCCCTGCATATTCCAACCTTTTCTTTGCCATGGCTTCTTTTTCCTGCAGCCATCATTCAGCACCACATAGGTGCTCATGCTTTGAATGTCTTTATGGTATAAGGAGAGTGAGGTGTGGTGCCAAAGAGGTTAAGTGGGAGTCACGAGGGGTGTATAGGACCACGTGTTGTCTTATTTATCAGAATTACACTCATATCTATCAAGCTTACTCTTGCTTTGCATAATGGGCACAGCAACCCCCTATATAATAAAGCCAAGTAACAGTTAAACTCAGGACGCTCAGCTTAGTGATTGCCAACCTTGTCTTTTTTGCTACATCATGCTCAGCTTACACAAACTCTGTCTCCTGACTCTGAGTATTCTAATACCTGGTATAAAGGCTTGTATTATCAACAATATAAAATGTAATGAAAAAGTGCAGGCTTAAATGATGGGCATGGTCGATTGCTGCATTTTAGTTGTTTATCTTTTTGTGTTGTGTGTCTTCATTGTAAGAGATATTTGAATTGCTTTGATATGCGGACCACAATTAAGACTTTTCATGTGTCATGTTTTTCTTCTGCCAATTAAGTCTTTTTATGTGTTTTGCTTTTGCAGGGTCTCAGGCTCAGCACTGAGTAACACAGGACCCCACAGTGACAACATCGCCCGGACATAATGTCAGAATGCCCTGTAACCTAGGAGGGGGTCTGACGGTCGATGGCAACAGTGTGACATTTTTCCAACAAACTGATGGAAACACACCTAAGTACCTTATGTTTTATATACGTGACTCTTACCAAAAGAGAGGAGATGGGGTTCCATCCCGTTTTGTAGTATCAGGTTCTGGAAATACAGGTTATTTGACCATCAATGGAGTGCTCAGTGCAGGTAGAGGATGATGCTGTGTATTATTGTCTAACCTGGACTGGAAGTCAGTATCACAGTAGTAACAGAATATGAGGAAGTATCACAAATACTCATAATTTAGCAAGGTACTGTATATGTGTGTATAGTTCCCACACCTTTATCTATATGCTCCACCTCCAACTTTAACAGTTGCCTATCAAAGAAAATAGTAGCTCTGTAAGATGGTTTTAGTATGTTACCCTGTTGCTAGATTTCTCCCACCACAGTTTATGGCATTGGATAGGTCCAGAGTGCCAGCCTAACTGGGTATAGCTCAGACCCACGTCAGCTATACTGGGTATAGCTCAGGCCCACAAGTGTTTTACTGCAGTTTAAAATCAGGAAGATTAAATGAAAAGATGTTTGTTTGGTGGTGATCAGCACTTGGGTAGCTAAAATATCCATGTGTAAGTCAACATAATCATGTTGAGAAATCTATTATGTTGACTAACTATTGGTCTATCACCCATAACGTGCATTCTATATTTAGCAAACATTGAGGGGAATGTATCAAAACTGGAGCAGAAGAATCTGGAGCAGTTGACTATGGCAACCAATCAGCTTCTCACTTTAGTTTGTTCAGTTAAGGTTTGAAAATGAAAGGTCGATGCGGATCGGTTGCCATGGGCAACTGCTCCAGATTCTGTCTGCTCCAGTATTGATAAATTCTCCTCATTGACTTTCTACACTGTTTATGGAAAAGTTAGCTATTAACAGAGCTTCCCATTGGGTGCACCTTTTCCACCTACTTACATTATACTGTAAAAAATTATTTCTATTTTTGCATTTATCATGAGTGTCCATCTCTGATTATAGGTAAAAAAAAGTATTTAATGCTCGATAAAATGTAAATATAGTACTATAGTAAGATGTTTGTGGGTTTTCTTGCATGAACTGTCTGTTTCAAAACGCCCCTGCATAATTTTAGTTGGAATCAAACCAGGGTTTTGACTAGGGCAGTCCATAACGTTTTATTTCTTCTTTCCTTGGTGGATTTGCCAGTGTTCTTCAGATCATTATCATGTTGAAAGACAAGTTTCTGGTTCAACTTAATTCTTTGGACTGATTGCTGCACATTCTCATCAAGCACACTTTGATATGATGCAGAATGTATAGTTGATTTGATGACTGCAGGCCTTGATGTAGGTCTATACAGTATGTTCAATGGCAAACTGTAGCCTTGCTTTGACCACCTTAACACAGGAGCATTTTTTTCATTTTTTACACACGTTCAAATCGGAATTTTTGGATACACAATTACTTTAAATCCCCAAACAAATATTTATTCTCTGAGAGCAAAGACCTTGTAAGAAAAAAAAATAGTAGTTGCATTTTTATGTTGCACAATATTTGCGCAAACGTTTATTCGATTGTTTTAGGAAAAAAATACACTAAAATTAATTTTAGAGCACACAAACACAATTTAATATCCAATGTTTTTTGTAAAATATGACAAATTGGGGCCACGTTGAGTAAAT